AAGTCACCAATACACCACCCACTAAAAACAAGGCACTATCACACCATTAACAAACAACAAGGTTCAGTATCACGCCACTAGCAACATAAGGTCACTATCACACCACTTACAGAAACAGGTCTCATCACACCACTAGCCAACAAAAAAAGTTCACTAATCACACCACTAGCAACAACAAGGTCCACTATCACGCATAACAACAAGTTCACTGTCACAACACTACAACAAGGTCACTATCACACCACATAACAACAAGTCACTATAACAGGCATAACAACAACTGTCAATACACACCACTACAGAACAAGGTCACTATCACACCACTAAAACAAGGTCACTATCAACCCCATAACAACAATGGAGTCACTATAACCACTAACAAAAAGGTCTCTATACTCTACTAACACAAAGGTCACTATCACACCACTACACAACAAAAATTTCACTATAACACCACTGCAACAAGGTCTCTATACACACTAACAAAGAGGTCAATATCACACCACTAACATCAAGGTCCACTATCACACCACTAACAAAAAGGTCCTCTCACACACTAACAACAACAATGTCACTGTCGCACCACTCAACAAGAGCACTATCAAAACACTAGCAACAACAAAGGTAAATCACAACACTAAACAATAACAACAAGGTCTACCTATCACACCACTAACATACAACAGGTGTCTATCACACACGAACAACAACAGGTCACTACACACCACTAAACAACAACAAGGTCACTGTCACACCACTAACAACAAGGTCCAGTATCACATCTCTAACAACAAGGTGCCCCCCCCCCCCTTCACTATATACAACTAAAAACAAGGTCACCATCACACCACTAACAACAAGGTCACTATCACACCACCAACAACAACAAGGTCACCTTTACACTAACAACAACAAGGTCACTACCACATCACTAACAACAACAAGGTTACTATCACACCACTAACAGCAACAAGGTCACTATCCCACCACTAACAACAACAAAGTCACTATCACTCTGCTAACAACAACAAGGCCACTGTCACACCACTAACAACAACAAGGTGACTATCACACCACTAACAACAAGGTCAGTATCACAACACTAACAACAAGGTCACCATCACACTACTAACAACAAGGTCAACATCACGCTACTAACATCAAGGTCATTATCACACCACTAACAACAACCAGGTCACCATCACACCACTAACAACAGCAAGGTCACTATCACACCACTAAGAACAAGGTCACTATTACAACACTAACAACAGCAAGGTCACTACCACTCCACTTCAACAACATACAAGGTCACTATCACTCCATATCAACAGCAAGGTCACTGTCACACCAACTAAACAAGGTCACTATCACACTTCTAATATCAAAGGTCGCACTATCACCACACTAAACAACAAGGTCACATCACAACAATAACAAACAGAAGGTCACTATAACATAGCTAGCAACAACAAAGGTAAAACTATGACACCACTAACAACAACAAGCCCACTATTCACACCACTAACAACAACATGGCCACTATCAGACCACTAACAGCAACAAGGTCACTATCACACACTAACAACAACAAGGTCTCTATCACACTACTAATTACAACAAAGGTCACTATAACATCACTAACAACAACAGGTCCACTATCACACCACTAACAACAACAATGGTCACTATACACACCACTAACAAACACCAAAGGTCACTATCACACACTAAACAACAACAAGGTCACTATCACCCACTAACAACAACCAAGGGTCACTATCACACCACTAACGACAACAAGGGTCTTATCATTCCATTAACAAAAAACAAGGTCACTATCACACTCACTTACAAACAGGTCACTATCACAACACTAACAACAACAAGGTCACTATCACACCACTAACAACAACAATGTCACTGTCACACCACTAACAACAAAAAGGTCACTATGACACTACTAACAACACAAGGGAGGTCACTATCACACATAAACAAAAAGGTCACTATGCCCCACTACAACAAGGTGACAATCATCACCGATACTAACAACAAAGGTCACATATAACATAACAATAAGAAGGGTCCACTACACACCAATTCTAACAAACAAGGACACATATCTCACCATAACAAAACAACAAGGTCACTATCACACCACTAGCAACAGGAAGGTCACTATCACGCCAATACAACATCAAGGTCACTATCCGACAACTAACAACATCAAGGTCACTATCACACCATTAGCAACAACCAGTCCACTACCACTACCAATAACAACAACAATGGTACAATCACACCACTAATAACAACAAAGGCCACTATCAAAAACTAACAGCAACCAAGGTCCTACTATCACTCCACTAACAACAACAAGGTCACTATCACACCATTAACACCATCAATGTTACTGTCACACCACTAGCAACAATAAGGTCACTATCACACCACTAACAGAAACAAGGTCACTTTCACACCACTAGCGACAACAAGGTCACTATCACACCACTAACACAAAAGGGTCACGATTCACACCTCTAACAACAAGGTACTATCACACCACTAACACCAAGGTCATATCACCCCACTAACAACAAACAAGGCATCTATCACACCACTAACAACAACAAAGGTCACTATCACGCACTAACAACAAACAAGGGTCAACTATCACATGACTAATACAGAAACTTCCAATATCACACCACTAACAACAACAAGGTCACTATCACGCCACTAACAACAGGTCAATATCATATGACTAATAACAAACAAGTGACTATCACACCTCTAAACAGAAACCAAGGCCAACTATCACACCACTAGCAAAACAACAAGGTCATTATCACAAAACTAAACATTCAACAAGGTCACTTATCACACCTCTAACAACAACAACGTTCCACTATCACACCACAAACAACAATGGGTCACTATCACACCCACGAACAACAAGCGTCACTATCAAACCCACTGACACAACAAGGCACTATCACACCGCTCTCAACAAAAGGCCACTATACACACCACTAACAACAACAAGGCCACTATCACGCCACTAACAACAAGGTCACTATCACATGACTAATAACAACAAGTCCACTATCACACAACTAACAACAATAAGGTCACTATTCACGCCACTAACAACAAGGTCACTATCATATGACTAATAACAACAAGTCCACTATCACAACACTAACAGAAACAAGGTCACTATCACACCACTAACAACAACAGGTCACTTATCACACCTCTAAACAAACAACAAGGTCACTACCATATCAACTAACACAACAAGGTCACTATCACACCACTCAACAATTTCACTATCACACCACTACAACAAGGTCACTATCACACCACTAACAACAACAAGGCCACTATCACACCGCTCTCAACAACATGGCCACTATCACACAACTAACAACAACAAGGTCACTATCACATCACTAACAACAATTTCACTATCACACCACTAACAACAAGGTCACTATCACACCACTAACAACAATAAGGCCACTATCACACCGCTCTCAGCAACAAGGCCACTATCACACCACTAACAACAAGAAGTCCACTATCACACCACTAACAACAACAAACTATCTTGACAGAAAACTAGAAGAAAACAAACTATAATAATTGTAAATGGAATAGGCTAACGGCAGACCTGTTCACATTCTTTATAATGTCGCCTTTTTTTTCGTTTTAATTAAACATGACATAACTAGTAGGTGCAATGTTCAGGAAGAGAACTCAGAGTAAACTACAAGTATCTGAAGAAGATATGACTGGAGTGTTGCTCTTAATTTCTAAGTCTTATAATGTCGATAGAAATGAAGAAGTCATCTCTCATTCTCTTACTCAAATCGACAAACCAGTGACATCATGTATTTTAAAGTCCGTGTGTATGTAGGCAAAGTCTTTCCTGTCCTAGGCATATATTTCTACTTATTTTCTACCTTCTCTCAATCTGTCGAGGCACCTCTTCCACACTTTCATTTATAACTTGCGTTGCCTCTATCGAGACGAATACTTTTTGAAATAACTGACAATGAAGGCGTGATATTAGTTTGCACAATACATCAGTGCTCAGACGAACTCTTTATACTCTCTGATGACCTACACTTCACCTACAGTATTAACACACAGTAAGGAGTCGATGATCACTTCTTCAATGCCTTCCTAAGTATCAGGTGCAGTACTGTGTCAAGCCAAAGACTTCTATTCAAGCCGCTGGTCGTTAAGCACAACAAAGGAAAGAAGAGGATATACTAACATTCAGTTATTTGACTGGATACAATATTGTTTCTAGTAAATTTATGACTCTTTAAATATTAATATTTGATCTCGACTCATTGTGAGAAGTTATTCTAATTATATGATAATTCAGATGTTACATTGACAAGCTTCGGTTCATAAAAGTCTGTTTCTGTTTTAAAGGCAACATTAAAATACGGATATAATCAGTTAATATTAGCTATGGCTAAATGTTTAGCTCCACAGCTTCAGTAATGTTGTAAAATTTGCCACTCTCTGGGTAGTGGCCAGCTTAATGCAGAATTATAGTAAGTTAGTGTTTAGCTGACCTTATACTCCTGCGACAGTTTATCAAGTAATTCTTCTAGGTATTCCTGATCATATATATTGAAACACACCCACACACACACACCTCAGCACACACACACACACACAACACAACACACACACACACACACACACAACACACACACACTCACACACAAACACGAACTCATATACAACGGCATTGTGTTCTAATCGTCATGTGCCTAGGACCAAAATGGTACTAACACACAATTATCATTGACGAAATATGATTCAATCAATTTAGAAATTAAAAAAACAAACTAAAGCAGGCTTACTGTAATAAGAAAACAAATTACCTTAACCAGAAGACATGATCCGGATTTAACAAATAATGTTCTAACCTTGTTTACGGATGAGGCCCCCTATCTCTAACCTTCACATACCAAGTAATCCTGTAGAAGTTCAAGACGCTGTCGCCGGAGGTCACGGGAGTAGTTGGCTCGGTTAATCTGTTTAAGGAAGAATATTAAATATTTTATACTGTAAATAATGGAAATATTTTAAGGAAAACTTTTGAAGTTGGGAAGAAAATAGTGAAGTTGTTGTTGGTTAAAATTAAAGTTTATGAATGGAAAAAAATTATCGATACTTTTAATAAAAGTTTGAAGTTTTTAATAAAGATATAGATAGATTTATTATAAATTTTGAAGCTTTCAATAAAAACCTGAAGTTTTGGACAAAAATATTAACGTTTATAAATAGGAATTCTGAATCTTTAAAAATATAGAAATTGCTAAACCAAAAATATTGAAGCTTTTACATAAAAATATTTAATCTTGTTTAGAAATTATGGATGTTTTAGTTTTACAAATATTGAATCTTGAATAAATTCTATTGAAGCTGTTGAACATTTTATTTTAATACAAAAAATACTGAAACTAGCAAACAAACAAACAAAAATTAAACTATGATATTAAATTTTCTGAATTTGTTGAAAAAATTACAAATTGTGAATTAATATTACAGATAATTAATAAATTACGAAATAAAATGTTAGGGTAATGAAATAACAAACAAGGTCACTATCACACCACTAACAAACAACAGGTCACTATCAAACCACTAACAACAACGAGGTCAATATCACACTACTAACGACAACAAGGTCACTATCACTCCATTAACAACAACAAGGTCACTTTCACACCACTAACAACAACAAGGTCACTATCACACCACTAACAACAAAAAGGTCACTAATACACCACTAACAACAACAAGGTCACTATGACACCACTAACAACAACAATGTAACTATCACACCACTAACAACAACAAGGTCACTATGACAACACTAACAACAAGGTCACTATCACACCACTATCAAATAGGTCACAATCACACCACTAATAACAACAAGGTCACTCTCACACCACTAACAACAACTAGGTCACTACCACACCACTAACAACAACAAGGTCACTATCACACCACTAACAACAACAAGGTCACTGTCACACCACTAACAACAAGGTCAGTATCACACCACTAACAAGAAGGTTATTATTACACCATAAACAACAAGGTTACCATCACACCACTAACAACAAGATCACTATCACATCACAAACAACAACAAAGTCACCACCACACCACTAACAACAACAAGGTCACTATCACATCACAAACAACAACAAGGTCACTATCACACCACTAACAACAACAAGGTCACTATTACACCACTAACAACAACAAGGTCGCTGTCACACCACTAACAGCAAGGTCAGTATCACACCACTAACAGCAAGGTCACTATTACACCACTAACAACAAGGTCACCCTCTCACCACTAACAACAAGGTCACTATCACACCACTAACAACAACAACAACAAGGGCACCATCACACCACTAACAAAAACAAGGTCATTATCACATCATTAACAACAGCAATGTCACTATCACGCCACTAACAACAACAAGGTCACTATCACACCACTAACAACAACAAGGTCACTATTCACTCCACTAACAACACACAAGGTCAGTATCATACAACACACACACACACCCACACAACGAGGGGGCCAGGAGCTCGGACCGACCCCGAAACCTCAATAGGTGAGTACACACACACACACAAGGGGGGCCGGAGCTGAGTCTCGACCCCTGAAACCAAAATTAGGTGAGTCACAGACCACACCAACAACATCGAGACGGAATAAAAAGTGTGAGGGTGGCACGAAAACGGGAGGCATCCCCAAACATATAGCACTCACGGAAACCAAACGAGGGAAAAAAATAATGCAATTTTTCCCAAACCCGGGATATCAGATCTTGGGGAAAAGGCGGGTGGAGTAAGAGTTGCACTGCTCTTTAAAAAAAATCATGGAGTTTTGGGAACACTTCAATTGGGGGTCCCAAAGGTGGTGATGCAGGGTAAACCACCACAGATAGAGGAGGCCAACACAAGAGTATGATGAGAGCAACAGAGAATGGATGAGACACAGCTGAGGGTGCCGGGAAGGGCAAAAGGTAAAAGTTGGGGATTTTCAACCCCCACAACCGGGGGCCACATGGGGAACCAGAAGCGAGGAGGGCTAAGATGATGGAGTTGGTAGTAGAGAACCTCATGCATCAACATATTAAGGACACTACCTACCAGAGGAGAGGAGAGGATGAACTAGCAAGGTTGGACCTCATGTTCCCCTTGAAAGGCCCATTCGAGCTAGTGATCATGTGGTCTTGAGCTTTGAAAAGTACAGAGGAAAGCAGCACTAGTAGGATGGGAGAAGCCAGACTGCAAAAGAGGGGAATACACAGGTATGAGGAGTTTCCTGCATGAGGTACAGTGGGAGACAGAACTGGTGAGAATAACAGTGAATGAAATGATGGAATACGTGACCACAAAATGCAAAGAGGAAGAGGAGACTTTCGGACCTAAGGGCAATAGCATCAATGGAAAGACCAAAACGAGCCCTTGGTTCACTCAAAGATAGAGAGAGGCCAAAACTAAGTGTGCTAGAGAATGGAAAATGTAGAGAAAACAAAGGACCCAGAAAAAATAAAGAGATTAGCCGAAGAGCCAGGAATGAATATTCATGAATAAAGAGGGAAGCCCAGCGGCAATACGAGAATGACATAGCATCGAAAGCCAAATCTGAACCAAAGCTGTTGTACAGCCACATAGGAAGAAAACAGCAGTCAAAGACCAGGTAATCAGGCTGAGGAAGGAAAGAGGGGAATTGCAAGAAACGACGAAGTATGTGAAGAGCTAAACACGAAATTTAAGATAGTATTTTTGGTGGAGACAGACTAGACTACAGTAAACTGGAATGGTAGGGTACACCAACAGGTTCTGGACATATTACACACAACCAAGGAGAAAGTAAAGAGGCTACTAAATGAACTAGATACCTCAAAGGCAATGGGCCAACATCTGAGGACGCTGTGCGCCACTAACAGCAGTCCTCAACACATATATCGAAACAGACAACTACCTGATGTATGGAAGACAGCAAATGTTGTCCCAGTTTTTTAAAAAGACAAGCAGGTAGCATTAAACTACAGCCCAGTGTCACTGGATGCTTTAGTGTGCCCAACGCCATGGAAAGGCTTATCAGGAAGAGATTGGTGGATCACCTAGGATAGCTTATACACGAAACCAGTACGGTTCAAGAGTGGGGAATTTCCTGTGCCAAAACCTACTAGAATTTGTACGATATAAGAAGTAAGGCAGGAGAGAGAAAGGTGGGTAAACTGTGTTTTCTTGCACAGTAAGAAAGCTTTCGACACAATTCCGCAGAAAGTAGTGCAAATGCTAGAAGAGCAGGCAGGAATCGAGAAAGGCTCACTGCAATGGGGTCAAGAAGATACCTGTCAGAAAGGAAACAACGAGTGATGGTATGTGACGATGTGTCAGAGTGGGCGCCTGTGACGAGTGGTGTTCCACAAAGGAATGTGCTGTTCCTGGTATATGTGAATGACTTGACGGAAGGGACAGAGTCAGAGGTGTTCCCGTTTGCAGACGACGTGAAACTAATGCGGAGAATTCAAGTGGATAATAATCAGGTAGAACTACAAAGGCAGAGTACAGGCTAGGGAACCAAAAGCTGCAATCCTCACTCAAGGAAAAGGATCTTGGGGTGAGTATAATATCGAGCACATCTCCTAAAGCGCACATCAACCAAATAACTGCTGCAGTATATAGTTTCGACACCTTAGCAAGGAATCGTTCAAGACTCTGTATATCGTGTACGTCAGGCCCATATTGGAGTATGCAGCACCAGTATGGAACCCACATCTGGTCAAGCACGTCAAGAAATTAGAGAAAGTGCAAAGATTTGCAACAAGGCTAGTTAGGGAGCTAAGGGGTATGTCCTACGTAAAGAGATTAAGGGAAATCAACCTGACGACACTGGAGGACAGGAGAGATAGTGAGGACATGCTAACGATATATAAAATACTGAGAATTGTTAAGGTAGATGGGGACAGGATGTTCGAGAGATGTGACACAGCAACAACGGGTCACAACAACAACGTGACACAACAACAACGGGTCACAACAACAATGGGGTTACAAAACAATAGGGTACAACAAACAACGGGTAACAGCAAGAACGGGTCACAACAACAACGGGTCACAACAACAACGGGTCACAACAACAACGGGTCACAACAACACCGGGTCACAACAACACCGGCTCACAGCAACAACGGGTCACAACAGGAAGCTGAAGACTCAGATGAGTCACAGGGAAGTTAGTACCTAGTATTGACCAACGAAGAGGCGGGGCCAGGAGCTGTAAAATGACCCATGCAACCACAAATAAATAAGTACAAATAGGTAAGTACACACACACAATGTACGGCTCCATTATTTTCCTGACCACATCACCAGAAATCACGAGTAATTTTTGTGTATTTACAGTTGTTGTCCTGTGTAAACAATCAGATCAATGACCATGTCACTCTCGCAGTCACACCTGACTAACAATCAGATCAATGACCATGCCACTCTCGCAGTCACACCTGACTAACAATCAGATCAATGACCATGCCACTCTCGCAGTCACACCTGCTAAAATCGATCCCAATGACCATGGCCACTCTCGCAGTAACACCCTGATAACAATCAGATCTTGACCACCATGCCTCTCTCGCAGTCACACCTGACTAACAATCAGATCAATGACCATGCCACTCTCGCAGTCACACCTGACTAACAATCAGATCAATGACCATGCCACTCTCGCAGTCACACCTGACTAACAATCAGATCAATGACCATGTCACTCTCGCAGTCACACCTGACTAACAAGCAGGGATCAATGACCATGGCCACTCTCGCAGTTCACACCTGGACCTTACAATCCAGATAAATGGACCATGCCAACTCTCGGCAGTCCACATGATTACAACAGATCATTGACCATGCCACTCTCGCAGTCACACTGACTGACAATCAGGATCAATAACCATGCACCACACTCGCAGTCACACCTGACTAACAATCGGATCAATGACCATGCCACTCTCGCAGTCACACCTGACTAACAATCAGATCAATGACCATGTCACTCTCGCAGTCACACCTGACTAACAATCGGATCAATGACCATGCCACTCTCGCAGTCACACCTGACTAACAATCAGATCAATGACCATGCCACTCTCGCAGTCAGTCAACTACCTGACTAACAATCAGATCAATGACCATGCCACTCTCGCAGTCACACCTGACTAACAATCAGATCAATGACCATGCCACTCTCGCAGTCACACCTGACTAACAATCAGATCAATGACCATGCCACTCTCGCACAGATCTCACCCACCTGACTAACAATCAGATCAATGACCATGCCACTCTCGCAGTCACACCTGACTAACAATCAGATCAATGACCATGCCACTCTCGCAGTCACACCTGACTAACAATCAGATCAATGACCATGCCACTCTTGCAGTCACACCTGACTAACAATAGATTATGACCATGCCACTCTCGCAGTCACACCTGACTAACAATCAGATCAATGACCATGCCACTCTCGCAGTCACACCTGACTAACAATCAGATCAATGACCATGCCACTCTCGCAGTCACACCTGACTAACAATCAGATCAATGACCATGCCACTCTCGCAGTCACACCTGACTAACAATCTATTACCAAAGCGACTGTTAAAATTACTACATTTCCCTTGATATATAGTGGAAGGGCTCGGTCCATGATGGCCAAAAGCTCCAACGGCTGGTCATCATATGACTAACAACCGCGTCAGGAAACACTTGTCCTGTTCCTGACAAACATTACCTAACCTAACTCTAATAATTATATTATTACCACTACTAGTATTTAATCACTAGTCTTTCCTTTTGTTTATTTATTTTATAAATCAATTTTTCGTTTTTCACTTAAATAAAATGTGAACCTGGTCTGACACGGCGTAAACCCTGAAGGGCTTCTGGTCCTGGGTGAAGGTTTCCACGTAGTCGAAGTCGCAGACGATGAAACAGACGAGGTAAGTGACCATGTTTACCGACCTCTGGAACACCACCTCCGTCAGTCCTGTGCTCGGAGCGTCCATACCTCGCGCTGGACTCTTAACACTGTGACAATTTTGGAATGGATATTAGAAAGGAAGGTGAACTAATAAATGACTAAGGAAAATTATCACTCTTCCTACCCTGGGGGCGTTCCGGGGTGTCAACGCTCCCTCGGGGGGTCCATCACCAGTAAATATAATGCAATTATTGCAAGAAATTAAATGTTAATAAAATTAAATATATGAAATACTATAAATCAACTAAAAAATGTGTAGCAATTAAAAGAATATTTTGGATGCAGCTCTTCAAAATATTTGCATAAAGTTCGTGACAATTATTTTACTGCACATTATATGGATCGTTTATATTTGGTTCTACCTGAAGTCACTCCTTATAAGTTAACAGCTGTTATCTCATATCAGCTGTTTGCAAAGCCTAATACTATCCAAGGCAGTTCCCCTTTATCAATGATGCGACTCACAACAGCCTACTAACAGGTAGCAATCTAGTATTTACTACAAATAAACTAATAAACCAATGAATCAAATAAAACATTCAAGTTATTCGTCTCATCCAACCCGGGAACTGATGCCCGGGACGATAGCCACAGTAGCCCCATCATTCTGGTCATTAAAAAAAAGACATTTTGAAAAAATTACAATTTAAATGGTGATGTTACCTACTCTCCTGGGTTCAATCTTGTTTCAAAAATGGCTTCAAAATTTACATTAGATGAACTTTGTGGCATCACGAATATTTTAAGTCAGGGGTCCTCAACCTGCGGCCCGAGGGCCGCATGTGGCCCTTCTATGAAACTGATGCGGCCCTCATATGAAATTATGAATTCACTTTTATTTATGTTCCATATTGCACACTGTCAACAGTTATAAAATATTTAATGTCATTTTACACCAAATCTTTATCGTTGCCTCTAACAACCTCTGTTCACTTCCGCGTCATTGCTGTTTATCGCTACGTTCGAGGTGGATGTCTACATTGATTGTTTGGCTGGCGGGTGTTGGTGGGTGGTTACGTGTGGTGGATGGTGGTAGTAGTTCTTGCAGTTCGGGGGGGTGGGGGGAGTAGTGGTTATAGTGACAGTGGGGGTGGTCGTAGTAGTGATAGTGGTAGTTGGGGTGGTGGTAGTGGAGGTAGTGGTAGTGAAGGTGGTGGTATATTCGTCAGGAGACGAGACAGTGTCACTGACGTGTTTTAATCACCTGCTTCCTTCACTGATCAATCATCCACTGGCGTAACTAACCTCGGGTTTTCCACCAAACTTAAAATTAAAATGTCACCACAAATTCCTTTCTGGAGCTTCTAAACATTTTTTCTTTATATTTCAAATTTAGTTGTACGGACTCCTTCATAGCGGACGTTTCGCCCAAGCAGCTGGCTTTATCACGTCACAAACAGAAAAACTTGATAAGAGGTGAATATATAAGCAGTCATTAGCGGTGAGGTTAAGAGAAAGTTTGATGTGCGTCAGGTTACTCTGATTCCCCAACATCGCATTAATTTTCTGGTAAGAGGTTCAGGTACAGTGTAGCAACTGTTGTTGAGGTTAAAGATGTTGATGCGTGCAAATTAAAAGCATTTTCTTTATCAAATGGCTTTTAGAAATTAATGGGTATTGTGCAAGCATTCTGGTTACATTCTGGGGTTCCCAGAGGAATCTGTGGACGTCTCACATTAGTAGATTTTGTCATAGTTGTTAAATGTGTAAACTCTTGCAGTAGTTTAGTGGCGGACGCCAAGTACTTTACAATTTATTTGGTATTCAGCACAAAGCCTCTTCTTGTATTTCCTCTGTAGGATTCAATCTGGCAATTATGGCAGTGAGGGGACTTGAGCTAGAGTTCGTCACGGCCACGCTGGCGGGAGATTCGTCTATAAAAGTTCATTTGTGGTCACAGTGGTGCCTACAAATGTGTATAAATATACCTAGTTGGATGAATCTTATTGTAGCCAGCTGTCCCAGTGGCTAACCTGTCGGTCTGGAGTTTTATGACTCTATAGCAGTGTTGGTTGTCGGAATCCCCAGCCTGCACTGTAATTGGCTTTCAGGTCAACCAATTGGTTGAGAGGCTTGTTCCATTCGAATTAATGTAATATTTACAAGTTTACACTGGAGTTAGCCTCTACCTAGCTGGTTCAGTACACATCTTGATGTCTCTTGCATGAGTTACATTCATATAACAGTGACTGAACTGAATTTGCTCTCCCATTTATTGCCATTCTCATTTCTATGGTATCCGCCTATTTTGTAGCTCTGTTACGCTCTGCACACACTGTAGGTACTGCTGGTGGGAATTTACGAGCACTCAAAAGCTATCCTTGGTGTCTGATTTAAGGCCGGGTACTACAAGACTCTCATTTGTCGAGTAAGTATGCAATATCATGGTGTCAAAATATAAGCAACTTTTCCATCAATATCTTCAACCTTTAGGCCCCAACGAATTAGTTTCGACCTGATGCTTTGCCAGATCACATTAATAGTGAACCTACCCTCATTTTTGGAGACTTTAATGCCAGACATAAGAATATTGGTGGATCTATAGCAAATGAGCAAGATAATGGTCGAATCGTGAGCACTAGTGATCACACATATATGGCGGCATACTAGATCTGTTCCTTGGATTTTATATATTATATAGAATGCATGACTGTCATAGTTGATGATCAGAATTCTATCTGAACGTTTCCCATTTCTCACAGCTGTCAATCTTGATCGTATTTCCAACATTCGAGGAGCTAAGTAAAGAAGAAAAAAAGTCTCATTCTTAACCCAGAACTCAGAGATAACGTCATACTATTGGAATATCAATTTAGTTTATAACTTGTACAAGCTGTATCTCCGGAGACAACAAGAACTCATTTTCACTCTACTCATTAAAGATGTGCTTCACTTCTTTACATACCTGCAAGCCCTTCTTAGTATCACATACCTGCATCGCCCTTCTTAGGTATCACATCTGCAAGCCCTTCTTAGTATCACATACCTGCAAGCCCTTCTTAGTATCACATACCTGCAAGCCCTTCTTAGTATCACATACCTGCAAGCCCTTCTTAGTATCACATACCTGCAAGCCCTTCTTAAGAAGTTCAACACTAGTAATCCCTCCCTTAAATCACTTGCAAAATCAACTGCTCAAGAGGAAATTTCTCGCTTAATTATTAGTAATGATTTATCACAGGTTATAAGCAGTGATGGATCTAAGCAAGAGTCTACTGGCAGGGCTGCATCTGCCGCCTTCTTAGTTAAGAATAATAGAAACTTTGTTGATTTAGTCATAAAAATTGACAAATGGGCGTCTACACTGTAAACTGAATTGTTTGCCATCCTAAAGACTAAAATTATTACTGATTTTATGTTATCACTGAAAGCTCTTGACTTAACGCTCATTGGAGAATCCAGATATAGATACTTAAAAATCCGGGAAAAGGGAATTAATGAACAATTGTTGTGGATTCCATCACTCACTGGATTACTTTTTATGATAATGATGATACATTAGCCAAAAATAGTACACTAAAGGATAATGTATAATATAATTTGGTATGTGTCTAGAATTAGTATAATATTGGGAGAGAAGTAAATAATGAAACTGATTGTTATAGGAATGCAGTTAGAAGCCTGAGTAGATCTATAACCCACTATGATAACATGAACGTAGATAAGTATGTTTTGGAAGCAACTTGCAATTGTGAACACTGACTGTGTTGTTGTGGGCCAGGCTTAGACAGTTTAACAAGTTACTGACTGATGTTGTAGTGGCCAGGCTTAGACTTGTTTACAAGTACTGACTGATGTTGTAGTGGCCAGGCTTAGACTTGTTTACAAGTACTGACTGATGTTGTAGTGGCCAGGCTTAGGCTTGGTTACAAGAGTACTGACTGATGTTTGTAGTGGGCAGGCTTAGACTTGTGACAGTACTGACTGATGTATGTAGTGGCCAGCTTAGACTTGTTTACAAGTACTGATGATGTTGTTGGGGCCAGGCTTAGATTGTGTTACAAGTACTGATGATGTTGTAGTGGCCAGGCTTAGGCTTGGTTAACAGTATGACTGTTGTTGTTTGGCCAGGCTTAGACTTGTTTACAAGTACGGATGATGTTTGTAGTGGCCAGGCTTAGACTTGTTTACAAGTTCTGACTGTTGTTGTAGTGGCAGGTTCTAGACAAGACTTGTTTACAAGTACTGATGATGTTGTAGTGGCCCAGGCTTAGACTTGTTTACAAGTACTGACTGATGTTGTAAGTGGCTGGCTTAGGCTTGGTTTACAAGTACTGCTGATGTTGTAGTGGCAGCTTAGACTTGTTTACAAGTACTGACTGATGTTGAGTGGCCCGGCTTAGGTGGTTACAGTACTGACTGATGTTGTATTGGCCAGGCTTAGACTTGTTTTACCAGTATTGACTGATGTTGTAGTGGCCAGGATTAGGCTTGGTTACAAGTACTGACTGATGTTGTAGTGGCCAGGCTTAGGCTTGGTTACAAGTACCTGACTGATGTTTTAGTGGACAGGCTTTAGACTTGTTTACAAGTACTGACTGATGTTTGTAGTGGCCAGGCTTAGACTTGTTTACAAGTACTGGACTGATGTGGTATGTGAAAGGGCTCTTAGACTTGTTTACAAGTACTGGACTGAATGTTGTAGTGGCCAGGCTTGGATAGTTTACAGTTACTGACTGATGTTGTAGGTGGCAAGGCTTAGTCTTGGTTACAAGTACTGACTGATGTTGTAGTGGCCAGGGGCTATAGACTTGTTTACGAGTACTGACTGATGTTGTAGTGGCCGGCTAGACTTTTGGGTTTACAAGTACTGACTGATGTTGTGTGGCCAGGCTTGGGACTTGTTTACAAGTACTGACTGATGTTGTAGTGGCCAGGTTAGACTTGTTTTCAGTACTGAATGTGTTGTAGTGGCCAGGCTTAGCTTGGTTACAAGTACAGATGATGTTGTAGTGGCAGGCTTTAGGCTTGGTTAAAGTAACTGACTGCTGTTTGTAGTGGCCAGGCTCTAGGTTGGTTACAAGTACTGACTGATGTTGTATGGCCAGGCTTTAGGCGTGGTTACAAGTACTGATGATGGTTGTAGTGGCCAGGCCTTATGGCTTGGTTTAAAGTTACTGAATGATGTTGGTAGATGGCAGGCTTAGGTTGTTTACAAGTACTACTGATGTAGTAGTGGCCAGGCTTAGCTTGTTTACAAGTACTGACTGATGTTGTCAGTGGCCAGGCTTAGGCTGGGTTTACAAGTACTGATGATGTTGTAGTGGGCCAGTTTAGGTTGGTACAAGTACTGACTGAATGTTGTAATGTGGCCAGGCTTTGCTTGTTACAACGATACTGACTGATGTTGTAGTGGCAGGCTTAGGCTTGGTTACAAGTAATGGACTGTGATGTAGTGGCCAGGCTTAGGATTGGTTACAAGTACTGACTGATGTTGTAGTGGCCAGGCTTAGGCTTCTGTTACAAGTACATGACTGATGCTTGTAGTGGCCAGGCTTAGGCTTGGGTTCAAGTAACTGATGATGTTTGTGTGGCCAGGCTTGACTTGTTTACAAGTACTGACTGATGCTTGTAATTGGGGCCAGCTTTAGGCTTGGTTACAAAGTATGACTGTTGTTGTAGTGGCCAGGTTAGGCTTGGTTACAACGTACTGACGGATGTTGTAGTGGCCGGCTTAGACTTGTTTTACAAGTATGACTGATGATTGTAGTGGCCAGGCTTAGGCTTGGTTACAAGTACAGACTGATGTTGTAGTGGCCAGGCTAGGCTTTTGGTTACAAGTTACTGACTGATGATTGTAGTGGATGGCTTAGACTTGTTTACATAAGTAACTGACTGTGTTGTAGTGGCCAGGCTTAGGCTCTTGGTTACAAGTACTGACTGATGTTATGTAGTGGCCAGGCTTAGGCTTGGTTTAAAAGTACTGACTGATGTTGTAGTGGCCAGGCCTAGGCTTGGTTACAAGTACTGACTGATGTTGTAGTGGCCAGGCTTAGGCTTGGTTACAAGTACTGACTGATGTTGTAGTGGCAAGGCCCTTTTTTTTTTTTATTTTTTTTTTTTAGGGCTTGGTTACCAAGTACTGACTGATGTTGTTGTGGCCAGGCTTAGGCTTGGTTACAAGTATTCCTGGCAGTTTGGGAGACACACAAATAACATGATCATTTTCCCACTACAATCTACCTTGTCCATAATTACTATCGCATTTTCTTTGTCTGTTTGGTAAGGTGAAGTCCAGGATCTTTCCTTAATTCATGGTATAACTTAACGAATCTTTGAGAACAATTGTGTTGTAGAAACAGCAAAGCAAATGCGATAGTAATTATAGACAAGGTAGGTTAAAGTGGAAAAATGAACATGTTATTAAAAGATTATATATACAATTTTAAAATCATGGGGTACTAACATGCCTTTTAAGGGATTTTGTAAAACTGCAGTTACCTATCTTTACCATTGTGTCAATATCTGATACTTTTACCTGTCTTTGCCTGGGAATTGAATCCTCTACCACTGAGTGTCCCTTTTTGTCTAATACTTGTTGCTTCTATATTATGTTTCAGGCGAATATTTCGTCACCAGCTTAAATTTTTGAAGTGCTTCCAACGTGGTGCTACACTTTGTTGAAACGATATGCCAACTAAGTATATCTTTCTACCATACGAACTTCAACTTGATATATAATTCTCGGCTTCTCCCCAACCATTCAAAAAAAATGAAACAAGTGGCGTGTAGATTACCTGGACAGGCATGTTGGAGAGTGCTATGTAGCCTGGAAGGTCTGCGAGAGTGATTGTGAAGTTGCTCTTAGAGGATGGATCGTAAAACAAGGATAATGCTTTCTGGCGTCCGTAGGCTGGAATATACATAGTAGTATAGACCTGAAAAAAGGAATTATGTACCGTATAAGGTTTGTATAAACATAATTTAATTTAATTAAAATTCGTTGTTCATACGTATTGCTTCACTTGTTAAGTTTTTTTTTATTTACAATTTAAGATCTTTATTTACGAGTTCTCCAACAGGGAACCAATCACATGGGTGCCAAAGATGATCGTCAAGTGCTTTTGGTCTAAGGAACAAGAGGCATTTCTTCCTTACCTGTGTCAAACTTATATACCTATTCTTTTCCAGGTGCTGTCTTACCTGAATGGGTTTAATGCTTCCCCATGATTATAGTAATTACAATGATGTGACCTGGAAGCTCGGAAAATCTTCTTAAGAAACTTGAGTAAACAAAGCTATGCAAAATTCACTTGTTTAAAATGGTTCCAGATTACACTGTTTCTTGCAGCATCGAATAAACGAGTTCCATTTCTTTTAAACAAAATGAAAGTCCTTAGAATATGTAGAGATAACATCTTTTATAGTTTAATCTATGAAAAAATCTAACTTACAGTTAAGAAAACGTTTTCTAGAACTAAATCCCAACAAGAATGCTTCCGTAAAAGTTTTTTTTTATTTGCAAAGAAATGCCATTCTAATGGTTCTCGTCTTCATCAAAACCTTAAATGAATAATAGGACTCAAGTGCATTCGCTTAAGACATTTACTGGATACGTCTCGGTCCTGGGACCTTGATCACTCCATGTGATACAAGAGAATGAGAGAGCACAGTATATCCAGTATAGGTGTCCCGTAGGCTCGAATCGGCCAGCCCACTAGCTCACACACTGAGGTCCGGAGTTCGAGCTCCGGTAGGCTGAAAACTTTAGGGACGTGTTTCCGTATGTTCGTGACTCATTTTTATCTATTCCACCTTTCGAAGCGAAGGATTCCATTTTTTGCGGCATCACGACTTGTTTCCAGCTTGCGCTCCGACATGGCCAGCCTTCGTGGCGACAGCGGCGGGCCAGTTCCTCTCCCACACACCTCGGGCCTCTTTTGCTTCATAGTAGTGAAAGACCATTAAAAACATAGGCCATAACTGTGTTGCAATTGCTAAAAAAAAAAGTTTATTCATCAGAAAAATGTGAGGTCAGCATTAAGATTTCAGATATCTTATGAAAAGCAATAAGGTGTTTCGCAATGTCGTGAATGGTTTGGATGAAGGTGTCTCGGGAAGGTTGGATGTTTAGACACACTGAAATATAATGCTCCGGTGAATGGCCCTGTCTCTGTCCATACTTTGCTTTATATGTTATTGACATCTCCGTATAAGTCGCACTTGCAGACATACTTATAGCCTCATCCTAGCAGTAACATCATCTAGCAATCTACTAACCTTGTTACTTTCTCCACAGAGGCGTTGAGTTTGACACATTTCATTATGATGGATAAAGGGTCCTATCATGTTCAAATGATGGATAACGGATCCTATCATGTTCAAATGATGAATAACGGATCCTATCATGTTCAAATGATGAATAACGGGTCCTATCATGTTCAAATGATGAATAACGGATCCTATCATGTTCAAATGTTCTTCTCTCCACTTCCTTTGGTTCCCAGGGCCAAGGAAACTTACCTACTTAACCCGACATCTGGGTCACTATATCCCGAACTCCATGTCGTCTCAGCCCTGGATTAGTCTCAGTACATACTCTGCACCAGTTTTTCCCTTTATCCTCAGAACGTTTGTCCCTGTTTGCCCTGTCAATTCCTCTTTAGATTCTGTATCTCGTAATCATGTCTACGTGGCTTCTCCGCTAAAATCGTCAGGTTCAGTTCCTTCACCTTTCATTGATAATTTCTCTCAGGTCTGGTACTGCTGACCTTCTCGTACTTCAGGTGCTTAACCAGGTGTGGTCGCCACACTGGTCACGCAGTATACTCAGTGACCAGCCTAACTTATGTCATATATAAGGGTTTGAAGGATTAATTTCCTAAATCTTACCCTAATTATTATTATTATTATTATTATTATTATTATTATTATTATTATTATTATTATTATTATTATTATTATTATTATTATTATTATTATTATGATCATGGGGGGGCGCTAAATCCACAGGAATATACAGCGCATGTTGGGGGGATGGAAGGTATTCAGCCTCAGTTCAGGGAACCGGAGCACAGACCCAATTCCCTAGATCAAGAGCCCCTCACCAGCGTCAAGGAACCTCCTTTGAGGGGAATCTTACCCTGAGGGTTGCCAATCTTGCATATGCTGCAGACTTTATGTGTATTTCTGGTGAAATACTTAGCTTCATACTCGCTCCCAAATCCTTCTCACTCTTATATATGGAGCCACCCTCCACCAGTGTTGTTGTTAGTGTTGGTTCTAACCTTACCTTCTTCACTTAACACAGCTGCATTTGTTCAGGTTGAACTCATGAATCCACTTATTTGACCACATACAGTCAAGGTTTTCCTGAAGATTATCACTATCTTTCTTGTTCTTATTCTTCTCATTAGTCTTACATCATCCACAAACAGTGACATATAAAACATTATCCTTTTTGGTAGGCAGTTCACGTGTATTAGGAACAGTAGCAGTACTAGTGCTGCATATTTTACATTATATTACATATCCCTCGACTCCTCTTTCCTCCAACGCCATAAGAATCAGTTCCGCTAACCTCTCTTTGTAACTCATATACGTTAACTCTGGAACAAACAAGCCTCGTTGCTTACTTCTCCACTTTTTCCAGTTTCTTAACACTCTTTTTTCAGGAAAGTGTTCCATACTGGTGCTGCATACTCCAAAATATGTCTGACATATGTTGCATAAAGAGCCAGAAATGACTGATAAGATTCTGAAGGCTACAACATTGACTGCAGTAGCCTTCAGGAACCTTATTCGGCTGATATAAGCCTTTGACAAAACACTTATGAATTATTTTCACCCCTATGTCTTCCTATTCGAATGAGGTTTGCAGTCTTTGTCACCTGAATCTATACCTCGTGTCCTGTCTTTTTGCTCCATCCCCAAACTTCATTACCTTACATATATTGATCAAATAAACAGAAGTTTCCCCAGATCTATTTGCAGCCTCTCCTGTTCCCCATCTGTTTTTATTCTCTTCATCAGTCTTACATTATCAGCAAATAAAGACACATCATTTGATTCTATCCCATCTCGGATGTCATTCACATAAACTAGAAACAGTACTGCTTCTAATATCTATCCTTGAGGAACGTCACCAGTGTATTTTCTCCAGTCTGATGTTTCTTCCCTGGTAATCAGTGTTTGCTTCCTTTCCTTAAGTGCTCTTGCCTGCATCTCAAATTTTTGCCCTCAACTCTTGTGGGCACAGTATCAAAAACTTTGCAGTCTAACAAAATACAATTTATCCATCACCCTCTTTCTCTCTCGTGTCTTACATCGTTACTTTGTTATAGAACTCTAGTAGGTTGGTAAGACACGATTTGATGTGTGTGAACGCTTGCTGGTTATTGTTTATCAAACCACTTCTCTCCAAGAGTTCAACCACTCTTCTTCTGTTAAGCTTCTCTATTACCTTGCATGGTATGCATGTCAGTAAAACTGGTCTGCAGTTCAACACTTCCTGTATCTTTCTTCAGTATAGAAACTACATTCAATGTCATCCAGATCTCCGGCAATTGTTTCGTATCCATTGACTGACTTCAGATCAAAGCTAGTGATTCAGACGGCGCTGCTGCTCTCTCTCACAGAATCAATGGTGACAAAGGTAATGGATCTTTGACGCATTGAGGTTCATTAAAAGTTTCTTTACCTTTCTTCCCTTGTTGTGTGTATGCTGCCCAGTACCTGTTGGTGTATTCGTCTCCTGTAGCCTCTAGTGTTGTCATTGTTTCCAATGAGAAGACTTCTTTAAATCGTTGGGTCAGTCCTTCACAGACTTCCTTGTCATTGCTTATAAGGTCTTTTCCTTCATTTTTCAGTAGAATTACCTTCTTTGTTTTACTATAGACTTTCTTCTGATACGACAGTGAGGCAGTTTTGGTTTATACTTTGCCTTTGCTTCGATGCCATTCTCAAACTGCCTGTCGCCCTCTCTCATCACCCTAGCATATTCGTTTCTGGCTCTTCTACTGACTTTGTTCTCAATTATTCGTCACTTTCAATAGATTTTACACGCTTTTACGATTTTCTTTTTCACTTCCCTGCACCTCCGGGTGAGCAAGGGGCTTGGTATGCCCTTTTTTGTTTGTACATCATAGTATCAAGGTTTACTCTGCCTGCCGGCATTGTCCAGCTGGGTATTCCATTATGTCCTCCCACTGACTATCTTTCTGATTCTGTATTTCACTGCCTTTCATTCAGGAAATCTCTAAAACCCCTAGAAGTTCCCTGTTCAAATGCCTGGGTTCTCACGCCTTCCACCTGTACTCACACATTTATATTCACCAATTTGTGATTGGAGAGGTCAAGTCACAGCTCCTGGCCCCGCCTCTTTGCTGGTAGTTCCACTCTTTCCCTGCTCCACTAGTTTTATCCTATCTCTTCATAAAGCTATGTATGGATTCTGCCTCCACTACATCACTCTCCAGACTGTTCCACTTCCCGAGAACTCTATAACTGAAAAAATAATTCCTAACATCCCTGTGACCCAGCTGAGTCTTCAACTTCCATTTGTGACTCCTTGTTGCTGTGTCTCATCTCTAAAACATCCTGTTCCTATCCACCGTGTCAAGTCCTCTCAGTATTTTATGTCATTATCATGTCCTCCTTATCCTTCCTGTCCTCCAGTATTGTCAGGTTCATTCCCCTTAACCTCTCTTCGTTGGACATATTTCTTAGCTCCCGGACTAGCCTTATTGCAAACCTTTGCACTTTCTCTAATTTCTTGATGTGCTTGACCAGGTGTGGGTTCCATACTGGTGCTACATACTCCAATAAGGGCCTGACGTACACGGTGTATAATCTTGAGCGATTCCTTGTTAAGGTGTCGAAACGCTATTCTTTGGTTTGTCAGGCACTCATAAGCTGCAGCAGTTATTTGACTGATGTG